ACGAGTCTAGGGAAAAACAAAACAAAAAAAACATATCCTGCCAAAACAGACTTCTTGTGGACTAATAGATAAAGATGGAAAATATTGAGCTGACCACAGCGCTGCCCTCCACAAGAGAACAATTTACTAGATATTTTGGTCCGTTTATTTTCATATTATTTGTATTAATCTTTGCTCAAGATTAGTTTTATTTATATACAAAATATATTAAGTAAACACCAGACAGTCTGGTGCTGTGGAGTCGAGCAGTACGCACATTGTTACCTGGTAACAGATTCATCTGCATTTCTGTAGAAAATAAACGTACAGCAAATATAAATAATTTTGATGAGCGCTGGGGCATTGAGGGAAACTAGAAATTTGTTGCTCTGGCAATAAAACCCTGAAAGGAATGAAAATAAAAGCAGCATCATACATTTTTATTTCCTGTGGAAAGGGCCAACTTGCAAACGGGTCAAGAGGACACTATGATAGGTTGTGCGCATGCTTATTAAGGCGATACATGTGAAAGCACAGTTTCGAGCTAGGGTGTGCCCACCTTTCTTTCTGTGTTAAAAAATGCCAGTTCAACCAAGTACAGCTGAAGATTTGCCGAAAGCACAGCCCTTCCTGTAAGAGTTCGAAATATATCAATTTAATTTTTGTGTGTCGAATAAATACCAATATAAAGCTGTTTACTCAATAACCAGATGTAAAAAGTTGAGATAGATGGCATGATAATGTATGAAATCATAATTTAGTACAGCGATGGCTAACCATGGCATGGTATCTTTAGGCTAGTAGAGTATTATGCAAAGAGCAACAACCATCACTGATTTAGACCACATTTACGTTGTTGGTTAGTGGTGGCCTGAGATCAGGTTCAGTCATACATTATTAATGAATAATTATATATGAATTATCCTGTCACAAGTTGTTAAAAAAAAAAAAAAAAACTGAGAATTTCTATGAGCACCCCAACTTAACAATGACCCCCCTTAAACTATGCTGGCACAAATCCCTCTTTCCTAAAGTTCCTCTATACCAAAAATCAGTAGCGGCCTTGTATCTTAATGATACATTATAGTCACCAAAACAACTACAGCTTACTTTAGTTGTTCTGGTGTCTATAGTTCCTGGCCCTGCATGTTTTTTAATGTAAACACTGCTTTTTCAGAGAAAAGCAGGGCTGTGGGCAGAGCCAACCACAACAACACCCGCAGCGTTAGAGAAAGGGTGAGGAAAACATCTTATTGACGGGTGACAAGGGCAGCCGGTGACCTAAATGGCGATCTTAGAACTGTAGTGTCAGGAATGTTTGTATTCCTGACACTATAATATTTCTTTAATTATACTTCCACCATTGCCACTGAAAGGGACACTATAGGCACCAAGACAACTGTAGCTTTAACTTTGTGTATTTAAACAAACAAAGCATTGTTGTGTATATATAAAGTCCCTGCAGTCTCACTGCTCAAATCACTGCCTTTAGGAGTTAAATAACTTTGTTTCTCCATTTTATTTTCTTATATATTATTTTTCTTTTTCCACGTGTCTATTTAGGCATTTATTGGCTGCTCTTCTGCACAGTCATAGATATGGTAATTATTTTGCAAGGTATTGAAAAAGTGCTTTAACAGCACAAAAAGCATAGACTTGCATTGGCAATGGTTGAATCATTTATTACATTGCTTTGTGATGGATATTTTAATGAAGGATCAATAAAATTTGGAATTATTTTAAAGATACGGCAGTGGAGGAATTTCGGGAACAGTGGCCAAAGCTTTTGCTCATATTTTGTTTTCTCTATGGAATGGAACATCCACTAGGCTGCATGAGACAGAGGATACCTAGTGTCTGATTCAAGCAGCGGTATAAGCTCAATTGTGAGTACCTAGATCAGCAGGAACTAATTGTTTTTGGTTACTGGTTTGAAAAAACATATTTTTAAATGTTATATCCAACTCCAGTTACCCATGGTGCCCCTCCACCCTTAGAAATATAAACATACTCGAAGGAGAGCACTCACTGGACTTGCTTTCAGTCAAAATTAATTTCCAAAAACATTGGTTAGTTTACATCATCAACGTTTCAGTCCAAATCTGGACTTTCATCCATATATATATATATATAAAGGGACCTAAGCCCTTGCACTCAGACCGACCCAACTACTTAAATGCCGGGTGCACTTCTAAGCCATAGCCAACAAAAATAAAGTAATGAAAAAGAGGCTGGCACTCACGGTCTTATAACGTTTAAATGAAGGTTTCTTTATTCAGTTATTCCATAAAAGCATCAACGTTTCAGCCATCGTCCGGGGCTTTCTTCAGGATAAACTAACAATACATAACTAACATGAGAACTGTATTATATAGCCCATAACAAGAGAAATTAACTCACCACCGGTGATCGCAGTCAGAGTGTCGGCATCCCACCGAGCCATGTGCCCATGCGTGTCATGCCCGGAAGTAGTAAGACAGCGCCATAAGGTGATACCGTGGTCAGTTCCTGAATCCAAAATGTCTCTTTCTTTAACAACATCCTGCTATGGTCTCTGGGCGTATTAGTTATAGATGATATCTCATATATCTGGGGATCTTGATTTTCACTTCCCTGATACACTTTACACATTTTGTTTATGTTTCATGTTACTATGGTGCACTAGGTATCAGTGTGTAACCATAGCAACCAGGTTACGCACTGTCTTACTACTTCCGGGTATGACGCGCACCAGCATGGGCACATGGCTCGGTGGGACGCCGACACTCTGACTGAGCTCACCGGTGGTGAGTTAATTTCTCTTGTTATGGGCTATATAATACAGTTCTCATGTTAGTTATGTATTGTTAGTTTATCCTGAAGAAAGCCCTGGACGAGGGCTGAAACGTTGATGCTTTTATGGAATAACTGAATAAAGAAACCTTCATTTAAACATTATAAGACCGTGAGTGCAAGCCTCTTTTTCATTACTAGTCCAAAAAAAAAGGTATCATTGCATATTGGCATCTTGTCTACTGGACTAATACGGCTAATCCAATCTATACTATATATATATATATATATGCTTTTTAATGTTTGTAGTTCAAGCAGCCTGCAACTGGAGTGAACCATTTAAGATGACTAATTTTCATTGAATTTAATATTTATTGACTTGTCTGCCAGTGAATTCTATTTAGTGTGAGATTATATATATATTTTTTAATAAATACTACACAAGATGTGTACACCTGTTTTATTGCATTGTCCAGTTTATTGTACTTCTTGCATGCTGACAGCTCTGGGTCCTGAGGGAGTGTTATAAGTCTCTACCTCTGTACAGTAGGTTTGTTTCCTGTTAATTAACACTGTAACACACTGCCTTATATGTTGTCCCTGTCAGGGACACAGCTGCCAATTAAGAAGGATGTTGTGCTTGAAACCACGTATCCATACAGGAGGTGCTTTCTGGCGTGTGTAATGTATTGTATAAAGCTCAGTCCTGTGATTCAGGTAGTACCAGTAGATCTTAGAATTGCGTTCTTATGACGATACAACATTGAAACATTTATAACTCCCCCCACGCCCAAGCTTGTTCCTTTCATTACACATTTGTTAGCTCTGAGAGATTATTTATATAGATAGGCCTTAATGTAAATATGTATATAGGTAAAATGACCCTCATAAATATCATGAGGGGAATCACAGAAGGTGACTTTCACAAGACTCCTGGTTTCCCTGTACACGGAAACTCTATAAATTGTTTATACGTTTCATAGGAACTCAACTTATTAGCTCAGTTTCATTAGCTTGGTCTCCAACTTGCCAAGCTGTTTCTGTATAGTTCACCTCGAGCAACCTATATTACCCAGAGGCCTGATCCAGTATCTAACAATATAGTTCAACTGTCTTCCATCAATTGGCTTCCAAAACTAGAACTTGAAGAGGAAGTTGTTTGTCTTCTCTTCTGGTACCCACAAGGAATTTAAGGTGTCAGTTATAGCCTCCAGTCATGGTTATTCACTGAACTAGGATTTTTTGAGAATTAACTGTGGGACTGAACATTTTAGGACAATATAGTCCGTTTGTAGAAATGGTGGAGCTGTTAAGAATTAGGATTTGGTTGTTTTGGCCTTTTTTTTGGCTTTTCCCCGCGCCGGGCGGGGAGCTTTCCTCCTCCTCTCCTCCTTCCTAGCGACGTCATCTGCTGAATGCGCATGAGCGGCAGGAGCCGCGAGCGCATTCAGCCAGTCTCATAGGAAAGCATTCCTATGGACGCTGGCGTCTTCTCACTGTGATTTTCACAGTGAGAAGCACACAAGCGCAGCCACTAGAGGCTTTAGAGGCTGGATTAACCCTCAGTGTAAACATAGCAGTTTTTTTGAAGTGTTAATCCTATCTGGACCTGGCACCCAGACCACTTCATTAAGCTGAAGTGGTCTGGGTGCCTATAGTGGTCCTTTAAAGTTGCCCGCGGTTCTAGGTCGTGTCCCAGATTGAGACTCCCTCCTAGAGCCTTGGGCTTTGTTTCTGTGAGTGGTTTGTGTATTTACTAAGTGTTTTGCGTGTGCTGAGTGTGTGTGAGAGTTGTATGAGTGGGAGCCTGAGTGTGTGTGCTGGTTGAGTGTTGTGTGTGGTGGCTGGATTGTGTGTGTAGGGGAGTCTGAGTGTTGTGAGTGTGTATATGCTTTGCCCCCTGCAAATCCTGCTTAACTCCCCTGGTGGTCCAGTGGGAAGTGAGCTGGATCTCTGGTAGTCCAGTGGGGGAGCTCCATCGTCTGCACCGATATCAGGTACAGACCACTTTGAGAACACCCTCATGTTAGCATGGCTCTATAGAACTGCTTGTGTAATGAAAAAGGATAAACCATCCCATTATACCATATTGTGATGCTGAAATTGAATGTCATTTGTTAATAAAAAAATGTAATATTAGATTTTATTGACTTGCAAATGAGTGAGCAAGCATAAAAATACAACAAAAGGCCAGAGTAGACTTTTGACAAAATTGTTTTATTAATTATCGAGGAAAATTATAAAGACTCCCTAAAAGTATGTTTTGAATTTCAAATTGTGTTGGTGGTCTGATGTACTAAATAAAGTAAATACAATCCTATAGCAGCAGGAACTGGCTTCTGGCAATTTTTCAATTGTTTGTTTTCTTTTAGACTTAGAATATGAAAGGCTAAAAACACTAAAGACATTCAAAATAAATCCTGGCGAACAACAAACAAAACTAGGAGATCGCATTCCGACACGGAACTTGAGAACAGCGATTAATGTCATTCATTTTCTAACCACAGAATCCAGAGTACTCGGGAAGAATGTGCATCCAAGATTTGAAAGCAATTAGTTTGTTAGTGCAATGTATTACATGGTTACAAACTTTAGCCTTTAGCCTATTGCAAAGATACTGTAGAGAAAATAACTGGTTATAAATGTGTTAAGTACCACAATTCGCAGCTTTGTTGTTGCAACAACACTTCAACATTTCAGTGTCAGATAGTCACATAGGTTGAGAAACACAAGGGGGCTAAGAGACAAAAAGGAGAGAGTAGAAGAGACAAGGTGTTACAAGACAGCACATTAAGACATACAAATGGGTAGAGACACACAGGGGGTTAAGAGACATAAAGGAGGTAAAAGGCAGAAACAGATGTGACGTAACAAACAAATGAGGTAAGAGACACAAGAGGGCATGGGATACACTAAATAACAATCAAGAATGGAATGAGAGACAAACATGATAGTAAGAATGACAAAACATAATCCTAAAAATGGCAAAAAAATACAAAATGGGTATGATACACAAAATGGGCAAAAGTATGGTAAGATGGGCAAAGGAGAGAAAAGACACAGAGGCCTACGGAGACAAAGACTAATTCAGGGGGAGGGAGTGCAAAATGCGTCTTCACCCTTGTAGCCAAAAATTATTGCATTGTTCTGATGCCCAGAAAGAATTAAAGTCCAATCAGTAGAAGAACACTCAGGTCAGTTAAAATGAGATTTGCTGAAGTTCAAAGGTTCTTATAAAGCAAGATATTCTCCCATTCTGCTAAATAAACAAAAACGTGCATCTAAATAGAGACTACCTTATACAGGTTTATTTACTAAATTGAGAATTCAAAAATAATTCAAGGTATACTTAAGGCCAAAGTACCTGAACTGGAAGAATAATTAAATTAGAGAATTATTCCATTTTGGCTATTTTGACCTTAAATTTGAAATTCACACTGAAATCAATTTGATTTCTCAAAGGACAAAGTATTGGTGAATGTGTATTGGCGTTCTGCCATGTTCCCCTGTATAAGACGGCCAAGTGCTCAGTTTTTGGTCCATGTTTTATCTCATGTGTGCTTTTCTTATGGGTGTGAGGTCTTTTGTTCTACAAATCTATGGAGAAAGCATCAGGTGAAAAGGTCATTTAATTCATCAAGCTAGTTCTGTGATTAGTACCCAGCCAGAGGTAACTGCTTAAAACCACCTGAGGAAAACAAGATGTCAAAGAGAGATTATCCAATTTAGTCACGGGCCAACCTCACAAAAAGTACATGTTGTTTTTGTTTCCTACCTATTACTTGTTGGTAGGATTTTGATAATTGCATTTAGCAATGTTTTCTTCCTCCTATATAATGGTGCATTGTTTAACTACACTTTACTGAAATATGCAGGCTAACTCTTAGAAACAGGTTATTTTTAGTTGTTAATGTGAGTTATTTGCTTTAATTAGCTGGAACTGTTTAATTATGCATACTATAATTTATTTAACTTTGTTGCTTATGCATAAATGTAAATGGTTTTGCACAAAGTCAACATCATCAAAAGACGTTAAAATATGTATGTAAAGGTTATGGGCTTTGCCTTCCGCTGCTGCAACAACCATGAATTTTAGAAAAATCAGGTAACGTGAGAGAAAGGAGAGACAAGGAAAAAACAGCCCATTTGAAATTACGATAGGGACATTGTCACCCATTCGGCTGGACAGTATACAAAGGCAGTGTGGGTTCCACTAGACATCTGTTATAACTTGCATGTACTTCACAGTGTTGACTAGTAACAGGCACAGCTTAGAATAAAATAGTATGTTAGCCGGATTAAAAGGACTTTCTAAGCATCATGACCACTACACTACTACAAAGTGGTTATGAGGCTGAGAGTCTTTGGGTGCTTTTTGTGTCCACCAGTACTCATGTACACACGTTTATATGCATATGTAAATGTGTGTACTACAGTAAATCTATGCGTAAAAGGTTATATGTCTACAGTCACAGGAAAAAGAAAGTACACCCTTTATGAATTATATGGTTTTACATATCTTGATATAATAGCAATCATCTGTTCCTTAGCAGGTCTTAAAATAAGGTAAACACAATGTCAGATGTACAGCACGTGACATATTAAGCAAAAATAAAGCCAGAATGGAGGAGCCATGTGTGAAAAACTGACTATACCCTCACTGCTTCCACAGGAATTAAGAGGCTGGCGCTGCAAATAAAATGCCCTTGATTAATTGATCATGATGTGACCATCTCTACAAAAGCTGAAGTTTTAGCAATTTGGTGGTCTGAAACATTCAGGTGTGTGTAAACACAATGCCAAAGAGGAACGACATAGCAATGCTCTTAGAGAAGCAATTATTGCTGTCCAACAAACTGGGAAGGGTTATGAGGCACTTTCCAAACAATTTAAAGTCGATCAGTCCACAGTGAGAAAGATTATTCAAAAGTGGAAAACATTCAAGAGAGTTGCCAATCTTCCCAGGAGTGGACATCCCAGCAAATTCACGCCAAGGTCAGAACGTGCAATGCTCAAAGAAATTGCAAAAAGCCCAAGAGTTACATCTCAGACTCTACAGGCATCAGTTAGCATGTAAAATCATGGCGGTACAATTGGAAAGGATTGGATAACTATTGTTTGTTTGGAAGGGTTGCCACGGTAAAGCCTCTTCTCTCTAAAAAGAACATGGCAGCACAGCTTAGGTTTACAAAGTTGCATATGAACAATCCACAATACTTCTGGAATAATATTCTTTGGACAGACAAGACCAAACTGTAGATGTTTGGCTATAATGCACAACGCCACGTTTGACGAAACCCAAACACAGCATACTATCAGAAACATCTCATACCAACTGTCAAGCACGGTGGTGGAGGGGTGATTATTTGGGCTTGTTGTACAGCCACAGGACCTGGGAACCTCGCAGTCACTGAGTCAACCATAAACTCCTCTATATACCGAAGTATTCTAGAGTCAAATGTGAGGCCATCTGTCTGACAGCTCAAGCTTGGCCAAAATTGGGTCATGCAACATGGCAATGATCCTTAGCACACCAGCAAATCTACAACAGAATGTCTAAAAAAGAGAAGAATCAAGGTGTTGCATTGTCACTTCCTCCCAGCATCTGACATCGTCACAGGGGGCCCGGTAGCGTTGTTAAAGCACTCCAGCGCTGACCGGGCCCCCTGAAAATACTTTGCCATCAGGCGGTCCATGGTCCCCTGAACGCTTGGCCCCAGTTGTTGTACTGCGCGGATAGGACCCGCACCACATGGCCGGCAGGCACCCCGGTCACAGGGGTCCACAGGGCAGCCAGCCCTGTCGAAGCAGCGACCCCTGCGACCGCAGTAGTTTTGCCACTAAGGGCTCCATATTTCAAATCCAATACTAGTCAGGCCTAGAAGTTAAGCGCCACTGCAAGCTTGGTGGGCACACTCATCGGGGTGAATTTTCACTCACCAAAGGCTAGTGGGCAGGTAAGAATTCTGAGCACATAGCAAAACTCTCAGTTACAAACATAGAAAAGACCAGAAAACACACAGAGAATTCTTTATACATCTAAACACTGCTTTTTCACCTCCTCCTTTCATGCCCATCCTTCTGTCTGGTCTGGCTAACATTAGCTGGGTGCTCTTCCATCCTGGTATAGAGATCATGTATCGCTGTGCCAGCATTACTGTCAGAAGGAAGAGCAGGGTACATTTCTTAAAGAGTTACTCCAAGTACCATGACCATTTTAGTGATTTTAAGTGGTCATGGTACTTTAAGTCTGTACATGCACCGTTTCAGCACGAATCACTGCACATTCTGAAATAAAGCTCTTTGCTGCCATAAGCGTAGTGTTCCAGGACGGCTAATGTAAATTATGGCAGAGTTGAAAAAATTGATCTACTTACCTTTCAGCCTTGTGGCAAATGTCTCCCCACTCAAGCTCCACCTCTGTGTTGATGATCTCAGCAAATCCAATGCTTTCCCATAGGAAAACATTGGGAGGCTAGTGTGCACGTGTGGAAATTCACTTGTCTCAATATCCTGATATCCTGGGAAGATACTTAGAAACACTAATTTAGGCAGATTTAAAAAAAAAAAAAAAAAATCAAACATGCAAGATTGTAAGCACACAGCAAGTGGTTTGAATAAAAATACAAACATACTACGATAATAAATAAAGTGAAATAAATATCTATAAACAGACTCATGAAATGGAGTTTGATTAAAATGAAACTGTAATACATATCCAAATGTATAAATGTAGGTCTCAGAAACAATGCATTCACAGTGCCATTCAAAAAGAGATAAAGGGACTGATCACAGAATTCAATCAAAGAACTTATTGAACAATGTGCTTTCATGGTTATATTTTTCTTTAATCACCTGAAACAACAAAAGATGTTCTAACACAATGAAACTCAGACGCTATTTATGAATTATGGATCCCAGACTCCACGCCATGTAAAGTGAAAGCATTGGAGTTGAGATGTTAATCATTTATAACAGCAAAATCAGATAACCTTGTTTGTAAATCCTAAAAGCAAGGATTAGATGATAGGGAGAGGCTGGCTTGATGCAAGTATATAATTGTAAATCAGAGGTATTCAGTAAGTGGCTTGAAAAGAGGTTTGCTGCTTCTATCATTACTGGTTTGCCCTGACGTGATTAGCCATGTTTAACCCGTTTCTTGGAATAAGTGCCATCTCTATTCGAGCTTGGTGACACCATGATTCCGTCAAGAACCGTGTTCTGACCCCTTAAAAAATAATCTGTCTGTTGATTATTTTAAAACCTATCATTTTCTATAATGTATTGAACCTAGAGGTCTTTTCATTATCTATAGGGCATCACAAAAAAATAGTCTGCAACATCCGGAGCTCTAATCTAACACTGCCTGTTCTTGTTCCCCTTCAGGGTGTATTGATGGGAGCCAGATAACATGGAATGATTTCATTTTAAGGAAAATTTGAGTTCACCAGAGGTTGCCAGCATAGCCTGCACGTAGCATCCTTCCCTCCTAATAGTATGAGGTCTTGTTGTAAATGACTTTTATTGTATGTGTTTAGAGCTGGTGCAAGAATAATTACCCACTGTACAGCGCTACGAAATCTGATGGCGCTATATAAATAATAAAATAATTACTACCTTAAGCAAAATCTATTTTTTGGTCCCTCATGTATAACACATCAGTTTTAATTATGGGATAAAGAGGCTGTGGGAATGTAAATGTCATTAACGAGAGGCTATTATGAGGCTGGGAGGATGAGGGGTTATGCTTTACTAAAACTAGACCCCCTCAGCCATTGCCAGTCTCACTTTAACCTTCTTTCTCCAAGTAGTGGTTTTCAGTGTCAGTCCTGTTTTCTTTATTCCCCTACTGCCGTTCTTCCCGCAACCAGAGAAGTTTTAATCTTAATTTGTTGCTCCTCATTGTCATATTCCTCTCCATCAGTCTTGTGCATCCTTACGCCGTCAAGTCCTCCGTCTAAAACTAATTTCTCCCCAACCCCTGCTAGCATTTTTCACTGGTGTCTTCTACATAGAGCTGTGTATGCGAGCACATGCGTCTAAAAGCAGTTATGTGGGGGTGTTTGGCTGGGTGAATGAGTGTGAGCAGGCTGATATTGGTAGAGCATGTGGAGAGAGGCTGCTTGTAGGGGTCTTTTCCCGAATTGTAGCAAGTTGAAATTCAAATGATAAAATTTGGACTTGAAAAGCTACGCTGTGACTATAATGGAGTTTGAGAATGTTTCCAGTTCAGATTGTTCAGCCTACATTTTGCCATTTGGTTTTCAGCATGCTACAATTCAGAGTTTAGTGAATACACTCTATAGTTTTGTGTGTAGGGTTGCCTCCTGGCCGGTATATTACTGGCACAGCCGGTATTTGATGCTGTCAGTATTGCAAAAATACCAGCACAACAATCAGGTGTTTCTGGGAGAAGTAGCAAAAGAAAAGGAACCATAATATCCATCTCTATTATACCTGCTAAGTACACATATTGCTGTATACACACAATGACACCCTCCACAGATACAGTATGCACACAATGTGTGTATATTGTGAGTGTGTGCATGTCAGTTTGTAGACACAGTGTGCACACACTGCTATACATCCACTAAGACAATGCATACACACAATGATACACTGCTATACACAAACACACTCAAAGCATACACACACTACTCATTTAGTCAGTGAATGACACACTGCTGTACACAATATGTACATGACAATATTACACACATGATCAGACACAGTATATACACACTGACATCTAACACATACACAGTATACAAACCGATAGACACTACTATACACACCCACTTAGAAACTGAATACACTCACTACATGTACACAATGTTACACACATAGTCAGACATAGTAAACACATTGTAGTCTTTTTTTTTTTTTTTTTAGTGATTTGGGGATTGTTCCCTTCTAAAAGGTTTATTTTGATAATTTATTATGCAAATTAGCACTGGTGTTTTTTTCCAAGAAAGGTGATAACCCTAGTTGAATGTGTATCAGTGGCAGTACTATAGCTGGTGCAGCTCCACCAGGGGCCCAAGCGCTTGGGGGTCCATCAGGTGGCTCATGCACTTAGGGCCACCGGATGGATCTTGCTGAACAAGGGACCTTTAAGAGTGCCACCGGCCCCTATCACACCGGCCGTTTGGGAGGAAGTGACAGACGATCACTTCCTCCCAGTTTAATAGAAAGCCATGTGGGAGGGAGAAGGAGGCACGGGAGCAGCAATAGGACCTATCAGCTGTCCCTCACAAGGGCTCTATGGAAGCTGCGCATGAGGGAGTAGGGACTATGCAGACCCTGGGGCCAGTGTCTACAGAGCCCCCAGCAACAGAGAGCAGAAAGGAGCAGCAGCAAGCTTTTCTGCTCCTCGCAGTACTTATAGATGTTGTCTGCCACCGGGATGACAAAGATGGAGAGGGGGACTGACTGACCAAGTGCTGATCAGAGTGGCACGTCAGAAGCTGCAAGTGCATAATCCTGCACTGAAGGCTGGACTGCAGGAGTCAGTGTGTGGGGGAGGGGGTCACTAAGTGTGTGTATGGGTCACTGCGTGTGTATGTGTCACTGAGTGTATGTATGGGTCATTGTGTGAGATAAAAAATACAAACAGGGGCTGCGCCTAAATAAATATTAATTTCTAGATAAAACAATGTCCAGAAACAATAGTAAAAGTGATGTGCAGAGAAATTCAACCTTGATGTCCTCAATGCTGTCTTGGGGTATTGTGCAGGGGCAGAGTCTTTCAATGGTGTAATCCACTTATATGTAAGGGAAAAAAGAGAAGAAAGAACGCCCAATAGTGCAATATGTATAGGTCAAATAAAGTCACTGAATTCAAATAATAGTAGGGAACTCACATTTGACAGAGCTATATCCAGCTCTGGTGTGAAGCGCATACAGCGGTATAATCCCCGCTTATGGGATATATGGTGGGTTCCCTCAGTCAGTGGTGTATCCAATGTTCAAAATAAAAGAGAAAAGAGACAACTAATAGTGCATCTCTTTTCTCTTTTATACAGAAAATATGCTTTTCATAAATGACGGGGACTGCCATTAACTCATTGTTACATCAAATTGTCACATGATTTTTTTTCTTATTATGTTATTCCTATGAACACAACTAAAAGTGGAAATATATGTAAGTTTTTGTTTTTTTTAAATGTCCCACGTGATGTGGATAATCCAGTTCACATTTAAAAATTTTAAAACAAACAAAAAAAAAAAGACATGAGATATTAGATTTATTTTTTTACATTGAGAAAAAACAAACAAAAAAAAACATCTGTTACAATAATTTTCATTTAATTATCAGAAATGTGCAAGTGAACAAAATGCAGGGATTATTCATTGCAGATTGGTACCAATGACGACCATGATTTCTGAACTTCCAGCATCAGTATTTCTTGCTGACAGTGTTAATCGTTTGAGCAGCAATCATAAGGTTTTGTTGAATCATAGCACCCAGTTAGAGTAGCTCCAGTCGGTACACAACCATACAACTAGGTAGCACTGAGTCTCAGGCTGATTAAGCATCTCACACTCATATCATATCTGCAACCTTGCAGCTCCATTCTGGTTTATTTTTTTTTATGAATTCACCAGTCCAATGTAAACATGCTAACATCATTCCAATTCTCTCCTATAGTGTCATGTCTTAATTATTTCACTGGAGGCTCAGATCCTCCAATTAAGCACCTTGATATCTCAGACAATAATCAATCGTCCACACTACTTGTTAGTGTTGGCATCAAAGTGTAGGGTAGAGTTAAAAGGTCAAAAATGACTGGTCAGAATGATGCTAAAAAAAATTAAGAATGATAAAATATATTTTTTTTTCAATGTGTCAAATAGAAAATAATATGCTGTATTACTAGTAATATCTCCAAACTTCTAATTAAACGTTTTGGAATTGGTGAATTTCAAAAACATACTAAAATGTTTTATTTGTGTCCTTGGTGTGGCAGAGTAATTATAATTTACCCATTTTGTAGGGCAGCAATCGCCAGTGTAACGTCACATGCGACATTTTGTAATGTGAAACAAGTTCATTATGGACAGTGATGTAGCGGCAATAAGGCCAGAATTGCATAACACATGCTGTTAGCTATTAGTCTGAATAGTTAATAGCAGGAATAATGAGTTACTGCAAGTAATATTTGATGGACATTCCTCGACCCATGGCGAATCAGGGGCTTCTCCAATGACTGTAGTTCACCAAATTTTCTTTGCATATACTTTGGCAAGTATTTAGTGCATAGCTCCTGCACATGTGTAAAACCTGAACTTTAAAGTGAATCTGTGCTTTCTTGGTAGTTGTTATCATGATCTGACGTCCTTCTAAGTCTCAAAATACTTGTAGATATGTGCAACATATTGCATGACGCTCTGCCAATCCGGGCGGTCTGTGAACATTAACTCGTTCAGCTCCTAGTAACAGAGAACAATGCGAATTAAGTAAAACATACATTATTTTGCCTTTTTATTATAAGCACTAAAATAGAGCTTAGAGGACCACTCTAAGCACCAAGACCACTTCAGCTTAATGAAGTGGTCTGGGTGCCAGGTTCCTCTAGGATTAACCCTTTTTTTTTTATAAACATAGCAGTTTCAGAGAAACTGCTATGTTTATAAATGGGTTAACCCAGCCTCTAAAGCCTCTAGTGGCTGTCTCATTGACATCCGCTAGAGTCGTTTGCATGCTTCTCACTGTGTAAATCACAGTGAGAAGACGCCAGCGTCCATAGGAAAGCATTGTATGAGACTGGCTTAATGCGCGCGCAGCTCCTGCCGCGCATGCGCATTCAGCCGTAGAGGAGGATCGGAGGCGGAGAGGAGGAGGAGAGCTCCCCGTCCGGCGCTGGAAAAAGGGTACGTTTAACCCCTTTCCTCTCTCCAGAGCCCGGCAGGAGGGGGACCCTGAGGCTGGGGGCACCCTCAGGGCACTATAGTACCAGGAAAACGAGCATGTTTTCCTGGCACTATAGTGGTCCTTTAACGTATCCCAGGGAACCAGGGAGACCCATTGCTATATATGTTATTGTTTGATTCTGACTTTACTAGATAATACTAAATAGACTAGATCGAATTTTAACTATACATATAAATGTCAATTTAAAAAATAAATAAATAAATAATAATAAAAAAAAATATATATATATATATATATATCATCTGATTAGGACTTAAATTATACAAATTTTTTAAATTACTGGACGAGTAATACACATTACTGAATGTCTTTAAGATATTAATGCACATTCAGGAGATGGGTGTATGTGATTCTCCGCGGTGGTTTATCATAGTAGCATAGCCATTAACTGGAGAATTTTTTTTCAGTTC